AACGGAATTCGAACACGTGGATGTCGGCAATACGTATCAGTTAAATTTGAAGCGCTGACGCAATACGACTCACCACGTGTCAAATATTGCCACACAAAGTGACGGAATATAGGGATTTGGTAGGTTTCCATTCTAAAGGCTTTTTAATAAATTTGGCAACATTTTGTGACGTTTCATCGTTGCTGACACGTAGTGAAGTGTTTTGAGAGTCATGTGAAGGCAACAGAACTTACGCATACGGTTTTTTCATAGTTTTTCATTTCTCGATGCGTCCTTAATGTGTCGGAATATACCGCGTTTACCCTAGCAATAAAAATTATTAATGGAATAAGCCTATAAGGGGAGCAAAGGATATAGATATTAGGCCTAGTCTGTTTTGTCATTTAGTAACCATAAACCACTTGATATTTTGGCTCCTTGAAAGAACTCAAATCTTAAAAGTCTTAGACAAAAGAAAGGCTTGCAATGAAAAAAGAAGATAAAACCCTCTGAGTAGGTATGTAAATTTTTATATGACATAGTGAGAGAATTTTTTTGCAAGAGGTTGTTTTAATTCAAGAGGTTGTTGCTTGCAAGAGGGCACGGTGGCCCAGTGGGCAGTGGTTACAGTTCAGAGTACCATGATTGGTGCAGAGAGGTGCAGGATCAATCCCAGCTCTGTGCACCAGTTTCTGTCAGAATCGGCAAGGAGGCCGGGCATCCTAAAATTTGTCTTTTGCATATGTAACTAGAAGAGTTTTACTACAATGCACCACAACCTGGAGTTATTTTACCAAAAAATAAAATTGATTTTAGTCATTTTACCACCCGGTCAAAGAAACCACAAGAGCTGGGGTAACAAAGACCATCACTTTTTTTCAAATTACATCAAAACTATGACAGGCAGGACCCAGCAATTTATGGTGAGTAAAGCTAGAGAATAGACCTGTATTTTGCATGTTTCAATTTAAGTTTAACTTATCTAGTAAAAAAATGGCGTCATTTTGAAAAAAGTGGTCAAAGTTACCCCATTTTACGGTATTTCAACCGTCTAAGCATGCGTGGAACTAAGACAAAGCTTGATATAAAGGAAAAAGTTGAGAAGTGTCGGAATTACCCACGATGTCAGAATATGGTGCATTTACCCTAAGTTGCAAGTTTGAGACTGCAAATTGCTGTGAATGTTCTGTGATGTTAAGAATGAGCGACAGACCAACGGTCTACAAAACGCTGAAACCACTATTATTAATATTTTCTAGAATACTAGTTTATTTAAGAACATTGAGTTTTATTTAATTTTGCATAATTTAGCATCCTAGTTGAGAAGCAACTAGCAATACAATCCTGTCAATTTTGGAGCACTTAAAATGGTAGAAGACTAAAGGGTTGGTACAGATTCTAATGTGATTAGTCTAATTATTCAATAATTAGGAGGAAGAAACTGAAAATGTTTTTTACAAGCTTGCACTGTTTGAGTTTTGATAAACAAGAAAACAGCCAGGAACTGGATTAATTATTTCAATAAATATTTTTTCTTAGTAATTTGTAGTCTCTGACTGAGGTGCGTAAGTGCTTTATCAATTGATACATCAAGTTAATAATGCATCATCCTTCAACTCCCTGTTTAAAAATTGGATTAAATTATTGGATTAAAAGTTCTGGCAAATGTAATAATAGAAGTTGATACTCTAATATCAAATTTTTAATAATCAACATGAATTATATATAAAGATCTTGAACTTTTGAGATGAGTATGAATACCATAGAAGTGAAAAAGTAATAAAGCCAATTTACACGTTTTGCCTGTTTTTTTTTATTAAAACCCTGGGTTTTTAATAAAACCAGAGTGGGTTGGGCAATTTAAAAAAAAAATTGGGTTTTTGCAACCATGCAGGATGGTATTGTTTGGTGTTTTTAGCACATTTTCTCATTTATGAAAAAAATGCACCATTGTGATCACCATGTCCGTCCATCTGTGTGTCCACCCGTGACTTCACATTTTCATCAACGAGGAAATGCGCTCTCTGTCACTCACTGCAGTGAGTTCCATCAAATGGGGGTAATGGGACAGTTTTTAGAGTTTTTTGTTAACAACTTCTTACCATGAAACATTTCATAAACAAGTTTAGGCTCATTTTATAGCTCTTTGCGAGGGCTATCGAATGGCATCTTGAAAAAATTCCATATGCTATTTGTAAGGTGCTAGACGCAAAATAAAACCGTCCCGATTTACCCCTGGGAACGGGGTAATCCGGGACACTTGCAATAAAAGTTAATTTTAAAACGTTTGAAGCATGCAGAGTGTACCCATCCATTACTAACAGTCCTCTGAAGTCCTCCTCTTCCATTGTAGATGATGTAGATGTAAAATAAATGACATTTTCTGTGATTTTTACTTGTTTTTCCTTTATTGATTATACTTTTCCAAAATCACACTTTTCACACTTTTTCAGAGAATTTTTTAGAGATAGTAAATGTTTGATTTCTTGACTAGCTTTATACATACCTACTAATAGATAGTAAAAATGTTGAAGTTTACGCCGCTATTTTTAGTTTTGCAATATTTTGATTAGTTTAGCTGCTACAACATTTCTACGAAATGTGGGACGCACGTCCCGATTTACCCCGCCTGTCCCTTTTTACCCCGTTTGACGGTAGTAAATGTATGATTTCTTAACTAGCTTTATACATAACAGATAGTAAAATTTTAAAGTTTACACCACTATTTTTAGTTTTGCAATATTTTGATTGATTTAGCTGCTACAACATTTCTATGAAATGTGGGACGCGCTTCTTGATTTATCCCGCCCAATCACACTTTTCACACTTTTTTTCAGCAATTTTTTAGAGATAGTAAATGTTTGATTTCTTGACTAGCTTTATACATACCGTAATAGATAGTAAAAATGTTGAAGTTTACGCCGCTATTTTTAGTTTTGCCATATTTTGATTAGTTTAGCTGCTACAACATTTCTACGAAATGTGGGACGCACGTCCCGATTTACCCCGCCCGTCCCTTTTTACCCTGTTTGGTGGTAGTAAATGTATGATTTCTTAACTAGCTTTATACATAATAGATAGTAAAATTTTAAAGTTTACACCACTATTTTTAGTTTTGCAATATTTTGATTGATTTAGCTGCTACAACATTTCTATGAAATGTGGGACGGGCTTCTTGATTTACCCCGCCCATCCTTTATTACCCTGTTGGATGGTATATACCGAGTTATATTTTTAGTGCATTTTCTCTTAATAGAAAAAATGCACTATTGTGCTTGCCATTTCCATCTGTCTGTCTGTCCGTCCATCCGTGACTTCACGTTTTCGTCGATTTTAAGAAGGGAGCATGCCTGTATCAGAGATACAACATCTCTAGCTCTTATACACTGTACTAATTGCAGTGAAAACTGATTTATGCAGGAGAAAATGCGCTCTCTGTCACTCACTGCCGTGAGTACTGAGTTACCTATATTTTGTTATATTGAGTTTCATTCATTAGCATTGATTCATCTGTCACCTAAATTTTGCAGCACATATCTAGTAAATGTGAACAGATTGCCTTTAAGTGCCTGAATTTACTCTAAACCTTAAGTGCCCTCTATGGTGGCATCCAGGCATGTCCTCAGGTGGGTTTTTCAATAATTTCAGGTGGGTCTTTCTTTATTCTCTGCAACTTAGAATATGGTAATGTACGGTACTTGGTGAAATTTTCTCCATAATTATAAAACGTAATGTATCAATATGTACCAAACTATACATTGCATCTAATTTTAGGTTGCTCATTGCACCTCAGGCTTTATCCTGGAAGGCTAAGACTTTCAAGCTTTTCCTTAGCTTTGTCTCTCAATCAGGCACTACGTACCAGACCACATGTAACCTCATCCAATTGGACATATTCCACATTGCTGGTAGGCAGTAAAGTGGAAAAAAGTTACTGTTTCATGTTGGAAATTTTTTCATCTGCAGGATTTCTGATATACAATCATTATGAGTGAAAATGAAAAAGTTAAAAATATTTTGGCTGCTCTGAAGAGCTATCCAGATTTTCCCAAGCAAGGAATTTTATTTTGGTAAGTGATTAAAAATAGACGTTTTGAGCAATGGTAAGAATTTGATCATTCTTAGTAAATTATGTCAATTGTTAAAAGTTTTATTCAAATCTTTTTCTTCTATTTTCTGTTGGGCAACTGCTATTTAATTTCTGTTAATATTGATTAAATAAGGAAAACCATGTACTAGTATAGCTCTGGTATTGTATACTTTCAACCCCATAGACTACTACTGCACATAAAATGTGTGAATTCCTAACTTAACTATGTACCATCATTAAATTTTATAGCATCAGAACATCTTGCTCCTTTTGCTCTTTAATAATATTTCTTGACAAATTTGGAGGCTAATGTAGATTAGACATCAAGTCTGCAATGATACTGGTGATGTTTTGTGCTGAAAAAAAGGATTATGGCAATGTATATGTTACTTTGCCCTTATAGACTAGAGGCTGTAGAGGCATCTTTGGTTGAAATTCCATAGTTGAATATGTGAACTAGTTATATAAGTACTGTCAGAATAGGGGAAGGTGCTCCTTATTGCTAAAGATATGCTGCTTCAAATGTATTTGTAAATTCACAGCTTCAAAGATTGAACTATTAAGAGCGTCATTAAATGAGCTATGATCAGACAGGCATTACTTTAGTGTTGAATATTTATGAAATTTCTGTATAATTCATTTTATTATTGTTTCTTATGTGTTACAGGGACATCTTCTCTGTGTTGAACACCCCAAGCGCAGCTAGGGATCTAGTTTCTCTTCTTGAATCTCACATCCATGAAAAATGTCCACAAGTTGATGTATTTGTTGGATTGGAGTCACGTGGCTTTCTCTTTGGACTGCCTCTCTCCACATCATTTTTCAAGCCGTTTATCCCAATCAGGAAAAAAGGCAAACTCCCTGGCAAGACCAAAGAAGTATCTTTTAAACTGGAATATGGTGAGGTAAGTCTTAGCATTAAGAATTTATTTCCTGCTTTGTTACACAGTTAATTTCATATGTTCATTAGTCGAATAGCTTCTGAAACCAAGCAAAGGCCGAAGAAGGCGGAGACAAGACTAAAATTTGGGAACTGTACTCAGCGTAATCTGAAACACAACTGAAGGTCAAAGGCTTGCCAGCCTTACATTGACATAGCTACTATATATAATGACAACATTGTAATTCTATTTTAATTTGAGAATAATAAATAAACACTTGACATGAAAAATATAATTTAAACTGTAAGTTTTACGTTGGTACGGTAGTTGAGTTGTAGGTAAATATATTGCACTTGTATCATTTTCAGTATTTTTCTGGTTTGGGTGCCTATCAATACTTTATCACATAAAGTTAATTAATGAATATAAATAAATTATAATAAAAGTGTATAGGCTCTGTTGCTGCTGCCATAAGTGGAGGTAAGGTCTAAAGAATCCAATTTGTTACTCTTGCCACCATATGGATATCTATATTACAAAAAGAAACCAGTATACCGTACATAATAGATGAATATAGTTAATAGCATGGACTCATAATTGTAAATAAACTTGTGCACAATTAACTTGAAACTATTCACAAGCCTTTTATATTGATATTAAAAGCTCAACCTATATATGTAATTATATAATATTATAATTACAATATATTATAAACATGTAATTGCAGTTAGTTTTTGTATTTGTATTAATGCTTGGGGTCTAAATATTTTATTCATTGGAATTTATGATAGGATATGTCTTTCTATAGGATATTTCATCATTATAGATTATTAATTTTTTATTGATACTGGGATATCAGTTCCCTGAACAATGAGAATTAGTAATTTAATTAATGTTTTTATGCAAAGTAGAATGATACAAGCAAAATGATCACCATAACACATGGTTACAACACTGGTGTAATCCAGTTGAAGATGTAGGTATACATGTTGAATTTCTTGCTACATGTAATGTGTAATCAGTATTGTAATATTTTCAGGATGTATTTGAAATTCAGGCTGAAAGTATCAAGCCTGGCCAGTGTGTGGTGATACTGGATGATCTACTGGCAACAGGAGGTTTGTAATTGCATTGATGCTGCCTGCTGACTCTGTTTTAGTTTTTTTATACACGAACTTCTTAGCTTTCATTGTTTTAGATATCTATGCAAGGTGGTATTAAGATCAGTATATATTAATTTTATATGAATCATTTATTTGGTGAAAATATGTTAGGTATTTTTTGACACTAATTGATTTTCTCCTATAGGTAGGTCATTGATGTTAGTTGTCACTCACTTCTTAATTAGAAAAGCTGGTTCTATTAAAATTAGTGCATGAATATGCATAGATGAAACAGATGCACTTATCTACATTCCGTAACTAGCATCTGCTTCCAGGATCACTGAAGGCTGCCAATGAGCTTGTGTCTAGCATGGGAGGTACAGTTGGACTCAACCTCGTGTGCATTGAGCTCAAGGATCTGCAGGGCCGCAACAATATCACTTCCCCTGTACAGTCAGTTCTGCAGTTGTAAAACCCAGATTCTTTATTCTTTTTTATTGTGATACTGATATTCCAAGTCTATCTTTACTAGCTTTTCCACTCATCTTATCTGCTCAAAATTTCTTGCTGCTGTAGATACTGTACTATTCATTCCATCAGTCTTCTTATTTGGGGTTTACTAATGCCAAGATGTAGTTTGTTGTATGAACTTGACCTGATGTGTACCCAGCAACAAACCTCTACATTATATTGTTTCATTCAATATTTTTTCTTTATATGTATTTAAGGCTACAGAAGCTGGGAATTTTTCCTGTTATAGGTTGAGGATTTTTTTGGCCAATTTTAATGGCGACTTGTATATGTTTTGTGTGATGCATTTCATTGGTTTCATGGCAAATAACTGGAATAATCTCAGTTTACACATTCCAATACCTTTATTCAAACTATGTACGGTACTACTATATGGTGTGCTGTTTGTGCTACCTCCATTCCAAGTGATATATTGTCTATGATTTTAAATGCATTGTGATAATTCTTTGTCACGTTGTTGTTGAGCTATGGAAAATTTTGCTAAATATATACATAACTTCTCTTTTTTTTGTATCATTGTTTGTTCAGCTATTTTAATTCGTAAGTAACTTCCCACTCGAGGCATGCTTGCACAGAGTCACTGAAATTATACTGAAGAGATCGATTTTTAAAGATACATTAAAATTTACAGAGTGAATTTGTGTTGAACTTTCAAAAAAATCTTGTGGCTACAACAAAATCTCTATGAATAAGTTATCTATCAACTACTGTTTGAAAAAAGTTTCAGCTAATGACACAAATCATGACGGCTTGAAGACCTGCTTTTTTATAATGCTGTATCTAATTTTGTTATCTATTTTTCGGACTATTTAAACCTCGCAGGCAAAGCTTGACTACTACCCTCACAGAAACACGTTGTGTTGAAGGGAGGTAGCGGCCCCTGGGGTTGAACTGAGCTTAAGAACCGAGTCAATTCACTACCTATATTAAATCTAAATCAAAACTTCATTTCCAATCTCTATTTCCACACTATTTTTATTTGTGGTTGTAGGCTAGCTAAATAAAATGAGTGGCTTTGGTATCACTCAAGATCATTGCAGGTCATCAGGTTTTATCACCAATTATGATTAAATTTATGCTACTATTTTGTATTTCTCTCTGATCTGATACTAGTATAGCGTTTAGATGAGATGCCTGCTGCAGAAAAATCAAAATTGTGTCCCATGTTAACTGGAAATCAACAGAAGAAGAAAAGGTCTTGCAACACAGATTCATCTCTGGCGGGTGAAGAATGTGACAAAACATGCGAACCATTCAACCCTGCAGACTCAGCATTCAACCATGCAGAATCAACATTCAACCCTGCAGAATCAGCATTCAACCCTGCAGAATCTCTCCTTCGCGACCTGAGATCTCTTCCTGCATGGGAGTGGCAGAGAATCACAGCCGAGCACCTTAATTTGGACTATGCTGTAGTTTTCCCAAAAATCATTGCTGCTAAAATTTTCGATGCTCTGGAAAAAGAACTAGAATATTTTACTGGGGATCTAGCTCGTGTCAAAGTCTTTGGCAAGTGGCATGACATCCCTCGCAAGCAGGTACCTATGTGAGATGCATTGCATACAACACAACATTGAAATCGCGAGAGTTGGTGATCTTAATATCACTGCAGTGATTATTTGGTTTTATCAATTTAAATTTTTTTGCTTCATACGTATACCCTTTTCTAACTCTCACCTTTAAATGTAACCATAATTGTTAATAGTAATATTTTTTTCTATATCATGCTGATGTTCAGAAATAGTTGAAAAGTTATTCTTCCATTCTAAGCTACACCAGCCTCACATCATTACCGTAGCAAAGAAAATATTTTTGCCGAACCTTATCTTAAAGCCACCTGAACAGTTTTGTATTTACTATCCTTTTCATTTTTTACACCATCAAAATATTCAAATGTTTGCATGCGATGGTTCCATCTATGATACGTGATGAATATTATATACGTAGGTACTTTTATCCATTTGAATCGCGAAAATATTAAGGCGAAGTGGTACCAAAATGTTCACTGGCTTATATGTACTTGAACGTGAGCGTACTTGAACTTGAGCTACTCTATTGCCAAGGCAACGTACGGCGACGAAGGCTTGACGTACACCTACTCCGGCATCACGACTCCCGCCAGACCGTGGACCGCGACACTCGGCGCTCTAAGGGAAGTCCTGCACACTGCCACGGGATACCGCTACAACTTCGTGTTGGTCAACAGGTTAGCTTATTGCAGGCATGTTATACCGTGCCCTTTGTGCTATCAAAGGCACTATATGGTGTGCTGTTTTTGTTATGTGCCATATCATGCCGTGCTGCTTGTGCTAACAATGGCACGCTGTTTCTGCGTCCGAAGCCGTATCGTGCTATGCTGCATACGCATCACATTTTGCTAAGAAAATATAAGACAATGTTGCCGTTATGATGTGTAATCACAGCAACATGACAACCCATCCTCACGTGCAGATATGCAGACGGCAAAGACAAGATGGGCGAGCACAAGGATGATGAGAAGGAGCTTGACCCTCTCGTCCCTATCGCCTCCGTGAGCTTGGGGCAGCCCAGAGACTTCTACTTCGTGCATCAAGACGCGCGTTCCAAAAAACGGGACGTGCCGAAAGGTTAACCTGCTCAACAGAATGAGAACTTGTAGAATTTTAAAAATTTAGAGTTTTCTCATTTTGTCCGATCTTGGTTCATCACACATGTTATCTTCTTGCCGAGTTTCTAGGTCATATTGCTTGATGCTCACTACTTGCTTTTGTTTACTTGAATGTCATATTTTTGTATTAGATGACCCTGATATCAAATCAATTGTTATGAAACTGGCGTAATTATTGTAAGTAGTTACGCAGCAGACGCAACAAGGTATAATGAGTGGCCCGGGGCCGTATTATGAAAAACTCGCTCAGGTGAATCTAGCGGAAGTTGCGACTGGTCCCTCGTCCGTGATTGGTAGCTTTAGCTTGAGAAGCCGTCAATAAGTTCTTGACGGAGTTACGAAAACTTATATATGTATAGTAGTACGGCCCTTGATCTCTTCGCCGCGAATTTTAGTACAGCTATAGCACTGCGGTACATTGCACATGGCTGACGTCTCCTCCGTACATTACAGTGCGTCTGACGCTGGGTGACGGTAGCGTGCTGCTGATGAGACCGCCTACCAACCAAGTGTGGTACCACGCACTACCACCCCGCGCCTCAGCCAAACACACTCGCATCAACCTCACTTTCAGGGCAATCAAGAAACGCTCGTGCCGGCCATCTTTCTGAGTTTCAAGGAATTATTTTCCTTCAGTCGCGAATGTGCATTTCGACTGAAAATAAATCATATATCAACGATTAATTTTTGATCTTGGATCAATATTTAATTTTAGTCCCAATCAAAAATACGCACAAGATGAACCTGTATTGTCATCCTCCTCTTGTATTCAACTGGAATTGTTGGTCGCATTGAACTCGAGCAGCTATTTTTACAGAGAAACTTGAAGCGGTGATACCGGCAGAAAGCGATGGTCGGGCTGACGGTATGCGTAGGCATGATCAGTTATGCAGGTTCTAACTTCCCGCTTATTTAAATTTTGAGCTCATTATTGGATAAATTGATGAGACATATTCCTTCTATAATTATTTTTCACAGGTGACAAGAATTTTTTATTTGTTCCTAATGGTCAGAGGTTGAATTCCGTGAAATTTGTGCTAGTCAATCTTATTTAATTTTAGTCTAATTTTCTTCTGAAATCTATGATATGGAGAAATATTTTGTCAGGATGAGTAATTGTTATGTATTAACATTGCTCTCGTGAGTGTATTGAAACGCCTGCGTCGAGGCTAATATATTTTAGCCTGAAACTTGAAAACTTCTATTTAATTCAAGATTTTTCTGTTTAACTCAGCAAGAAAAAATAATGTTCAGCTTAATGTTCATCTTTTATTAACTTCGGATGTTATGCATTGTTCGTATGCTTTTTCAATATTAAAGTAAAGTCCGTTATATACTGAATAATTCATAACCTTGAACCTAATGAACCCAATGCATATTCGCTTTAAGTTTGTGTGCCGCGAATGCTGTAAACATTTGATAGCTTAAACATTTAATCTTAATTAACATATCCAAAATTGATTGAGAATTGAGAATTTGATTTTGGATAATCTTGTATTGATTTTCTTTATCATTCTAGGTAACTCCACAGCGAAAATTTTCCCTATTGCTACCTTTTCTGCAATTTGCTCTGTAGTTTAAATTCCTTCAGCAATTCCCAAACGCTTTTCCTCATTCTCTTGTAGGAAAATTTCCAGTTACAGTTTTTGAGTGTGGCCGCTTGAATTTTTGTCAGCATCTATTTCTGAATTTTCTCAGCGTTCATTTCCCACTATTTAATATATCACTTCACTTGTAAGTAAGAGTCGAGCACGCAATGTTCTCTCGGTTACGCCCGTTGGGTGTGGTAGGGTTAGGTGTAGGTGGTGTGGTTGTGGGATACTTGGCAGGTAACCACAAGACCGTCGCTCACAACTCCTGGACTACAAATTTCAAGCCTACCACACCGTGGGACTGGAACTGGGACAGGTGCGTTCAGATATTTTTTTTATTTGTTCGCGCTCACTGTTGAAAAATCCATATTTATTGTTGCAATTGTTGAAGTTGTTGATGCTGGCAAGTTAACACTTTAGATGTACGTGGAAACTAAATACCTTGGTGCAACAATGAAAAGTTTTTCCTGAAATTGATTAGAGATGTAATTATTTTCAAATACTTGAGAGAGATATTTGTTCTTGAATACACGAGTTTGAAAAGTTTCATTGAGAATGTATCACTATAACCAATTGATATTTTTTGACACGGACATTGTCATAGTAGAGGCACGTATTGTGTTGCAATGGAGTGTGAATATTAAAAGTTTCCTTTATTTCAGAAGAGACCCCAGCAGTTTGATCGAGCCCACCACCAAACCAGACGGCACACTGAACAAGTCTGCCCTGAAAAAGAACGAGACAGATGACGAGAAGACCGAGCGCGCCACATGCAAGGCGACTCGCTACATCCTCCTGGTCAGACACGGCCAGTACAATCTGGACGGCGCGACGGATAAGGAACGAACTCTCACTCAGCTCGGTGAGACAGCCTACACGTAATTAATTAATAAGTTACCTGACATTCTACTAGTGGTAGGCCATTCAACTGAAAATCCGCGAAGGTCTTTGTGATGAAATTAAAAAAAAAAAAATAGTTTTCTCATTGAAACTAGAAAAGGCCATGAAGACTGTGGTAAGACGATTAAGTGAATATTCACTAAAAAAATTTGTAACAAAATCCCTGGAATATATTTATTCTTGAGATTAAAGACGGTCAGGCATTTCATCTATATTGTTTCTTGATTACGATATACAATTTTATGTTTAGTTGTGAAGTAAACAGACGGGAACTTACAAAGCTAAATTCCTGATATGTAAACTGCAGACAACAAAGTACAAAGATGGAAAATTGTGAAACATTTTTTAATTCTGTATATCATTACATTATTATCGTGCATGTCCAGGTGAAGAGCAAGCTCGGCTGACCGGAGAGCGTCTCAATGAGCTCGACTTGCCCATCACTCGCCTCGTTTACTCGACCATGACCAGAGCGACTCAGACCGCGCAAATTATGATGAAGCATATGAAGCAAGTGAGTACAGATGCTGAACCAGGTGATTATTGATGAGTATGAAGCTGGTGAATACATACGATGAAGCAGGCGAGTAGTTCATCTAACTGTGATCATGCGCTCCTTGAACGCTTGTAATCGTTAGCCATATTATATTGCGGTCATTATTTTAAACATTTGTTCCTTAAGAAACAGTTGCAAGTTCTTGTGGAGGGTATTTAAGAATCTGATGAGTAAATTTTTCTGTGTTCACATTCTAATTGTTATCTCTGAAGTGAAAAATTGATTGTATTTAATTAAAGCAGATCGATACAGTGGAGACCAGCGACTTGCTGAGGGAGGGCGCTCCTATCCCTCCTGAGCCCCCCCTGGGAGGCTGGAAGCCAGAGCGTCATGTCAGTTTCATCTCTAAACCTTGACATTGATAATGAAGTACAATAATAATGCTGGACTACATGAATAATGATGAATCTACATTAATAGTAATGAACTACAATAATAATGATGGATTTCATAAATGATGATGGACTGCATAAACAGTGATGAACTACGTTAATAATAATCAACTACATTATAATGATGAACTATAAAACAAACTAAGATAATGACGATATTTCTCTCATTAAGCTTTATGGTAAACCTATTTAGCCAGTGACTATTAATCCGTATCTTTAGTTGAAACCTCTCGTGTGAAATTTCAAGACTAGTTGACTCTTCTATTGTTCCTATTATTATACATAGAGATTCTAAACTCTAAAGAACTTCTAAATAAAAATTGCATCCTTTTTAATCAATCTTTGCTAGTAATCTAAAACAAAAAAAGGCGGCAGTTGTTAGCTTCTCTCAAAACTCACGCCGGTGCTCGGACTTTACAGCAGTTCTTCGCGGACGGCGCGCGCATTGAGGCCGCCTTCCGCAGCTACATGCACAGGGCGCCGCCCTCTCAGACCACCGACTCGTACGAGGTCATCGTGTGTCACGCTAACGTCATCAGATATATAGTGTGCAGGTAACGTGTTATATAATACGTCATGTGCCGGTAACGCGTTATATAATACGTCATGTGCTGGTAACGCGTTATGTAATGCATCATGTGCAGGTAATGCGTTATGTAATACATCTTGTGCAAGTGAAACGTTACCTTAAATAGGCGTAAATATTGTGTGTGAAAGCTGCTCACAAAACTCTACTCTATTCATATCTACGCTCAATTCTCTATAGAATAAACATCATAACATTTTCTAATTGCTGCTTTTCGTAACCGCACCAGACACTCCAAATGCCAATTTATGTTAACAAGTCAGCAATATCTTTACCTTACGTGCGCAGGGCGCTGCAGTTCGTGCCTGAAGGCTGGCTGCGAATGAGCCTCCACAACGGCTCTGTGACGATGCTCGTGATCAGGCCGGACGGCCGCGTCTCCATCAGACAGCTGGGCGAGTGCGGCCACATGCCTCCTAACAAACTCTCCCTCACGTGATAACTTCAGTTTTGTGTATGATTAGTCTCTCAAAACATTGACCTGTGTCACGCTTACCACACAACAAACTCTCCCTTACATGATGAGTTAATTTAGTAGCTCGTGATGTCTTTTAGTTATGATTAGTCTCTCTAAACACTGACCTGTGTCACGCTTACCACACAACAAGCTCTTCCTTACATGATGAGTTAATTTAGTAGCTCGTGATGTCTTAAGTTATGATTAGTCTCTCTAAACACTGACCTGTGTCACGCTTACCACACAACAAGCTCTTCCTTACATGATGAGTTTAGTGTAATACTGCAGTTCAGTAGCTCGTTACTAGTCTCTCCAAACATCGAATAGAAACTTTAAATACTGCCGTTTCAGTATAAAATCTTGGTTGTACCATATCATTCTATTCATTCATGTTAGTGATAAGTTAGATATTCTTTCAAACAATTTTTGTTTCGGTGTCCTCTTACTTAGTATCCTGCTCTCTGTTTTTGTTTAGTGTAAACATCTCAATCCTACAAGAACGTGACACCATTTTTGCCAAGTGCTAAGTTGGTCCGGCAAGCCTTTATATGATGCTATGGTCCGAGATTGCTGTTGCTTCCGAATTAAATTTTTATCTAAAACTAAATAGGTAAACTTCAAAGCATGCTTGTGATTGTTTACGTTTTTCTTTTTCGAAATTTATGTTCAGTTTTATTCGCGAAATTCCGCTGTGTTTGAGTATCAATCAAGAGCTAATTTTGATGATATCGAGAATTGCAGATGGTGTGGGTTTAATGATGATGATTATAATTGTTGACGTTGTGTTCTTGGTAATGGTTGCCAATGAATGTATTTTTGGTGACGAATGATGTTAACTCATTTATCAACTCCCAAGACTGTGTTAAGTGATATGCTATCGATTTCGGCTACTTTAATTTTTACAAGTTAATGATTTGACAATTTGACATTTGTTATCATTTACATCGAAATTCTATTTTGCTTTGTCATTAAGATATGCCGTGTTCGTACTTTTTCTTGAACGTTAGTTTTTCCTGGAGTGTACATATGTGGTGCACGTCGCAATCAAATATCTACGAAAACATGGTGATGACTATTGCTCATATTTCAAGGCTTGACTGAAATGGTGATGTATGCATGCATGGTGCAGAGGGTTGCTGCATGGAATGGCTTCACTCGTTAGTCGCCCACATCTTACTACGCTTGACTCTGCAGCTGTCATTTCTACGTCATTACGTATTAATTTCTCATTTTAGTTATTCAAATCGCTCACTTCTGGCAGGAATTATCTGTTTATTCTCAAGTTTTAGATTTCTGTATAACATGCAGTTATTTTTAAGACGCCTTCTTTTCTCGCTGTTCTTTTCACCTGCTCTCACATTTATTTCTAAAATTTAATGAAAAATTGATGTTATTATGTGTCTGTCGTAGCCCCACTGAGCAAAAGTGTCGATTCATCGCAAGGTTCGTTGCGTCTCAACTTCTTCCGATTGTTGCCTGGCAACATATGGGCAATGTTATCTATATGAACCCTTGGCAGATTGCCTAGGTCCAATAGAAGCTAAAGCCTGTAAAATTATAAGTTGGTAAAATTATACAGTCTGACAAGAGTTACTCGTCCATCTGGTATTTATTTTCTGGTTCGAAACTGACCCCGTGATAGACGGGTTTAGTGATATTGTTTCTTCAACTAAAGCTGGTCTTGTGTCTGTTGGCTTGCAGTGAGTTAATTAGCTAATGGGAACGAGTGATCTCAGCAGGCATTAATTAAACGTGAAAATTTTGTTGTCTCTTACTCCTTTCATATCAATTTTACTGTGCATTGTAATCATCGAAATGAACGTATATGGAGACGCTTTGAATACCTATTTAAATCCAAATATATTACATATGAGTAGGCTTGCTTCGAATTATAACGGTGCCGCCTGGACATGATAGCCTGTGACAGTAATCATTGAGATTTCAGGACCGTGGAGCTGCGCCTCGATTGCAGATTCGCTGTTGCAAGAAATATTACGAACATTGCGATGGAGTTAGTTTTATGTCTTTAACATTCGATTGAATTTTTATCTTCATGTTCAGTCAATCTATTTCAAACCTAGAGACTCTCTAAAATCTATTTTGAAACGGATATAGACTCACTCTAAAAGCTTAGATATGTCAACACTGCTTTTGTATTTAGTTATACATGCTGTTGTGTATGGAATCTTAACGCTCGTAACATTGTTTGATAGTTTAAATTTTTATTTTGTAGTAAATTTTCTAAATAATTGACGACAAACTCATTATTATGCATTCATCAGTATTATTAACTATACGAACAACAGGAAAGAATTTTAAACACGCTATAGCCTCAATATAGATTTTTAATTATCTGTGAAGGAAGGCTACATTTAATTACCGCTGAAGGCTACATCCTTGATCCACTGAAGGTAGTCTGGGTTGGAGAGAGGCACGTACAGGCCTGGGAAGTCTTCAAGCCCACAGCCGTAGCCTTGGGACACCACGCCTCCCAACACAGAGACTCCATCCTTGTGGTCTGATGCGAAGTACACCAGGGGCCCTCCGGAGTCACCCTAATGCAACAACAACATTTACTTTCTCATCGAAGAACTGAAGTGACAAGCGCTTGGTCTTTCTTGAAGAGACTAGAACAAGGGAAAGCAGACACATTTCCATACGCGAAAACTTGAAACGGAAGTAACAGAAGATTCAGACTTTTTGGAAGATGATGGTATTTTTGAAGAAGAAGATTTGGTAGATTGTTTCACGCAAGTCGGCGGAGAGCCAAAAGCTTTTGCCGGTCACGATCGATGAACGAGAGGAATGGTACTTGCGTTTATAGTTCCAGTGTGCGTATGACCAGTGACTCAATTTGATCTTGATTAATATTAGCGAATACAATGGTTGAAATATCATGGTTGAACTACTAGTTCAACCATGAGCGATTACCACAATAACATCAGGAGGGTGAAGTCCTAGTAGCCAATTATTCTGACAAATATTACTCTTTTATAAATTATAGTGTTATTATTGCGATAATATTATAATGCTATCATTCCTTTTTAGTAACTTTCTACATTGTAATTAGTAGAAGTTTTAATGATAATAGTGCAAAGATTAAACTATTAGTAAGTGTACCTGGCAAGTGTCCACGCCGCCGAGGGGCTGGCCAGCACAAAGGAAAGTGTCCTCCGCGATGCCGCGCGGCCACCTGGCGGAGTAGAAGTGAAGCTTCGAGTATGACGCGTTGCAGACCTCTGATGGGAACACCGTCACCGATGCTTCCTGCAGGATGGGACTGCCATCGCCTCCTGCGACAAGCAGTGTTGATTAATAGTGAATGCCTCTTGCTGCTGAGAAACTAATAATTTATTTTTTTATTGAAACTGCAAAGATCATCGCGTTGGTTTGTTTTCTTCATGTGCACTTCCAGAAATGTGTGCGAGCTGTAAAAGGCCTTTCGGCGGCTGTAACTTCACTGGAAATCAAGTGCAACTATTACATTTTTTGAACAATTTCAATTTTAGTTAATGTAGAACTAGACATTAAATTATATTCAACGTTATGTATCGTAGAAGCTGCAATAGTTCAGACGATCCACGGAATTCGCGATGAATCGTCGTGAATGAAGAAGTTTACCACACAGTCTGAAGCTAATCTAGGCTATGAGTCGTGAATGTACCATGCATCGTCCAAAAATTGCTGCAATGCCTTGCTGATTGGACTGAGAGGGGGAGGATTTAAGGGGAGGCTACCTGCCTATCCACCGGTTTTAAGACGATGGACGACGAAGGCGGCGCATAAGCATGTCCACGAACGAGGAGATGCTCAACTTGACATAAGAAAAATTGAATTTAAGACGTAATCTCCGTTGGTACGTCGGTATTGTGCTTTCTTGCATCATGCAAAATTACTGTTAACCAAGTATTTCTTTGGCGGATAAATGATCCATCGTCCTGCTATATTTTGCAATCGTCGATAAAAGAGTAGATAGAGTAAGCCTGTGAAAAAACTCATGAAAATCAACCTCGCCAAACTTTTTTAATGAGTGATTATTTAAGGAGGAGATGCGACAGGCCGTAATTAGTCGAAAACATGATCAGCGACCGATTTGAATATAAAAAAGGCAACAGAGTCGGCACCAGAAGCGGAATGCGGAGATACGTAAAGTTTTGCAATCTGTCGCATTGCACCAAATATTTTAGAACAGTGGTTCCCAAATTTGGCGATACCACCCGGAGCGTTGGAAAGATCTGGGGGGGGGGGGAGCAGTCCGAAGTCGAAGTCAGAAGTTCGAACGTTTCGTTGACGATTTGTACACAACATGTGTAGCACACGGATCCCAGCGATGGATTTTTCCATCCTTATCTGGATTTTCTAACCTCTCCTGGGTTTCTAGTGAAAATATTAAAAAATATATTTACCATTCTATGTTGCTGAAACAGTTAAAACTGCTAAAATATATATTGGTTTACTTCACCTCGGCAAGAACAATGATCAGCAAGCTTACAGCCTGCGCAGAGATGGTTGCAACGAGAGAGTTATGATTGAAAAGTCATGCGTGGAAAAAGATCTGGGAGTTCTAGTCATATTGAAACGCAAGTTAATAAATCCAATAAACTGCTTGGGTTGATCAGACGCTACTCATCGCTTCTACCTAGATTTAGAAGCGATGAAGCTGTTATTTTTCTCAGTCGTGCGCCCGAACCTAGAGTTTGGAAATGCTGTGTGGTCACCGAAACGTAATGGAAGACTAAAATATAGTCGTGAGTGCTGAAAGACGTGCAACAAGGATAATTTCAGGCTTGAAGGGCAAGTCTTATGAAGAAAGATTGAAGATTATGAAGTTTCCCAGTCTCTGTTATCGACGTCTGCGTGGTGGCCTCAATGAAGTCCCTGAGATATTGTAGACTTGTAGACGCTCCGAGTATGAACGCGTTCATGAACAGACTAGACAAGGCCATGCAGGAGCATATGTTTAGTCTAGAAATGCCTAGTACCCTACAGAACAACAAACTACAAAGTCTAGAAACGATTGCAAACCGTCGTCCGTTGAAAAGAAGCCAAGAGGCCGGTTTTTTCATCTGTAAACAAGTCACGAAAAGTACAAGAATCGGCAACAGGCCTGTCCAGGCCTATTCTTCAATGCCGAAGAAAATATACTATACTACTACTAAATTGAGTTTCATTTGTGATTTCTTTCTTTTTCAAATTTCAGCATTCCAAATATCAAGAAAGAGGTGTTTTTTCATATGTGTCTGTGCGTGGGGAGAGGGCGCTATAGGAATTGAATGGAGAGCCAAGCTGGGCGAGCGAGGTCGTGGTAGGAGGAGAAGGTACCATCTTCTTGGTAGCCGGGGTGAACCACCACGTCAGCGACCCTGTGGTCTTCGTGGGCGATGCGTTCCAGGGTGTTGTTGTGGTTGTACTCGCCAAGACGAACCACGTCAGGTCGCCTGTGTCGGATGAGCCGTTTATTATCTTGAATCATTTCAGCATTTAACATACTTGGTGGCCGTATGACATACCATCATATTGGTGTGTATTACGCTGCGTTCGCGACAAACCTGACAAGCCATAACAGACTGAACCTTAGCGGCAAGTAACTCGAAATGATTTATGTAAGGAAAGTAGTAGTGAGGATATAAAGTTGGATGTCGATATAAAACATAATATCAATAGTAATTAATCAATAATTAAGATGAATACTGACCCAACGTTGAGGCAGTGCGCCGCTGTCAACACCCAGCGGTCGTTGATGATGGAGCCGTCGCAGTACCAAGTGAGGGCTGCACTTCCCTCCTGACGCCTCCCCAGCAGCGCCTGTTCATTACGGGCCAATAATCATCCACAGAAGCGCATGTTTATAGTTTATTGCGTATTAAATCTGCTTGTTATTCATCTTGGTAACTGCGAAATAATTATGATAGTTATTTATCACTAGCAGCGCCTGATCTAACGTGTACAATTGCATAGATTGAGAAATATACACGCTATATATAGTATAGATTGAGAAATCCAAAACTATGCGGAAAATTTAATGAATTTCGATTCTTGGCCGAGCAATGAATTATTGCAGAAAACAAAGATCAGAATGCCAGAATTAATGGCTTATCAGTTGTGCTATAAACGACAAATTGTTATTACATATGACGCTTCTACAAATTTTTAAAAATTGATGATACAATTTTTATACTTGAATGAAAATTTTTCTTCTTCATAGAAATGAGACTCACTATATTTACATTCGTGAATATCATCAGCATGCTCGACTTATAATATCATAACTGAGAATTTATTTCTATTCAACCTAGAATTCCATCAATAATGTTGTGTCGAGGAGAGAATTTTGTTAATATTTTTTCCTAGAAGCTATGCATTACGTCCGTACAGTCGACTGATGATATCCTCAGTCACATTTACCAGAGAATTTTATTGTTCGCTCCACTCGCTCCCGAACTTTTTACCTCAACCGCCAACCAGGCATAAATGGGATCGTGATGCCGGCCATGCAAAAGATCTCTGGACTTTAGGCAAAAATAATTCTTACTGGCAATAAATTTAATACAAATGATATCAATGTTCAAAAACTTTGAACTCTTTTTTTTACATGGGAGATGAAGCTGACACATCTTGCATACCCATGACTCATAAACATAGCACTCATCAACATTGCATACTCATGACTCACAAGCATAGCACTTATAAACACATTAAAGTGTTTATTACCTCACCTACCATCCACGGATGTCCGTTCTCTGGAGCATCGATGCCCCCAGCCACTGAAACTATAGATACTTCTTCTAGTTTTTTTGCTAGTTTGTTGTCAGCAACGTTGGAAAGTTCTCTTGGAGACCGCCTCACTCTCTGAAAAGAATTGGCAGTAGGTATTTTTTGATCAAAATTGAAATAAAGAGAAAAATACGGTGGAATGTACATTTCTCACTAAGCCAGTTAAGCCAGTTATCAGGCAGTTAATTCAGCGAGGTGGACGGAGACTTGATTTCAAGCGACAATGGCCCGTATGCTAAATATGGCACTAGCACTACGAAGTAGCACTATGCACTACGAAGTGTCCTGCTGGTATGCTAAATACGTCACAGACACTATGCACTTCGAAGTAGCTCTACAATGTTTAGTGTCGCACTACTGATTCGTATGCAGAATTAAAGACTTTGAAGTGCTACTTCGCGGTTAGAGTACTTTATAGTGCCGCACTACGCTATGAGTCTATTGAAGAATGATAGTCAAGTGCTCAAATAATTAATTATTCCCTAAGTAATTCTCATTCTTTGCAGAAGATTGATGTAAAATGTCTAATTGTGATGGTAATGGTACTAGTGAAAATTGTGATGGTGAGCTGAAATTCGCAATGCGTCTGCGCACCTTTCCCATCATATATTCAAAGTCCACGCTTACCAAAGACATCGAACAAAAGAGAGAAGGATGGAAAGTTCTTGCAGAAGAATTCAAAATGGCTCCATAAAAAAAAATACAAAACATGGTGTCAGAAACAAGAAGAGTATTTTCTACTTCCGCTACAGGTAACAAACCAATTAAAGCGAAGGAATGGGAAAAGGAAATTAAGAACCAATTAGATTCAGGCGAAACTAATCCTGTGTTTCATGGGGTTCCAGGGGGTGTAAGTAGTATCACCTACCCAAAAAAATCCCTGTACAACCACCTACGCTGGTGGAAGAAGTGGTAGAACCGTCAGGTTGTCAGCCATCTGCTATCTCATTTGTAAAACCGTCAGGTTTTACATGTTGTTTACACCGTTCTAAATACTGGTAAACAACTTTACACCGTTGTAATGGTTGTAAACATGTGTTTACAACCGTTTTACATGTTTTACATGTACAAACCGTCAGAACATGTTGCTCACTGAAGCGGTACACTTTTTTATATTCATGGCATGTATTTCCTGAGGTTTTTACGCGATGATGCCTTTGCTGTAAGCCAAACAGATCCATAGCTGACGAAGTAAACAATGTGTAATATACCGAAGTGTCGTCGTGAAGTGCGGTGTGTAGGAAACTTCAGATTTTTGTAGTGCGCGTTATGCTTTTGGCCCTATTTAGCATACCAACCGTAGTGTTCCATGCTGCACTATGGCTTGTAGTGCTCAGTGCTACTTCATAGTGCTAGTGCCCTAATTAGCATGCCAAGCATAGTGTTCCATGTCGCACTACGGCTTGTAGTGCGTAGTGCTAGTTAGTAGTGCTTGTCTTTTTTAACATACGGGCCGATATATTCAACGAAAAAGCTCAAAACACACAATGAAATGTTTACGTTGCTGCCATCAGGTGTTTAGAAATGCGTCAGAACAAAACACTCACGACTCATTATACGATTCACCATCCATGAGCGTAAGCTCTCATTCGGTATTTCTTGATCGATCGCCAAAAAACTCCCTCTGTGTAAATTTTGAGCATTTCTCTTTCAGCCCGAGTTGCAACGAGCCGCCCCTATAGATAAATCTCACCAGAGACAAGCTCACCAAACACCCCTATCACTTTATAAGGAAGATCCTTCATACTTGTGCTCAATGCGGTTTAATTTCTGGAGTGAATGAAAAAATTAGTTATTGCTCTGTATAAAAACAGCGAGCGAGAAGTTAACCCCTGGATCGAAACTATGGCCGAGTAAGCGGCCGGACTTCTTGGGAAAACTTTTTCTAAGTTTCAATCCTAAAGTGGCTTAAAGCTGTGAGCCAGAGCTAATTAATGCTGCTTGAATCTTATCCTTTTGGGGTTTCAAGTACGCAAAACAGTCGATGCTTAAATTACACAATTATTTTTATTTGAAAAATTCACTATTTTAAAACCGGCAGTTTCTCACACTTGAATGACGTAATCTTTTGAACAACGAGCGAAAAATTCATGTGCTCGTTTCCTTCTCACCATTTCTATCCATTTTCTGTCAGTAAAGATAGTTGTATTCAATGCGATCAGATTAATGAGGCTCCAAGGTAATTTATGATCAGTTATTTTAACTCGATGAGCTCACTATATATCGAAATAGGTCATCATGCAGACATATGTTATACGCACTGTTCCGAGCGAGTTGTCCTGTGCATCCTCCCCTTCAGTTATTGTTGAAGATCTTTTGCGTCGCCCATGCAAAGGACTAAGAACACCGCAAACTGTGACGTGTACAGAAGCAAGAGAAATAACAAATATCTCATTACTAAGGGAAGTCACATTTACGTTTCATTGATATATAGTGTAGCGCCTGCTAATCTGCACATTGTCAGGAACTAATATTATGAGTAAGAAAGACTTGTCAAAAAATAATTATATCGACATCACACAAATTTGCATCTCGTAACAGTTTCCTGGATTTGACGGATTAAATATTTCACAACCTCGCGATTTTATTAATCGCAATTAAAAGCTTTATACAGAATATCCTTGAAATAATAGCAAGCCTTATGCAGAATATTTTTGAAAAATAACCCTTGGCCTCTCATGAAAACATAAGCGATTGACCTATCCTTCACAGTAACGTATAAATAAGATTATTAACACCCACCAGGCTCGTCAGGCGGAGCAGATACGGTTTTGCGCTGGAGATTCCCTCTCGTTCCATCTATGAGCCTCTCTGTAAAAATTTTAATTTATAACCTTCCACATTTAAATTGAATTATATTTCTTTTAATATGCGAGTAATAATATTAACCAAGATCACATACCTCCGATGGTCTTTTTTTGAACTGCTTGTCATCTAGCAAGCCAAATAATAATTTCGAACTATTGTACTAGTATATTTTAAAGATTAATTTAGAACTATTTACTAAAAAACTATTATTCTCTCACTCTAGGCTGCCTAGTTCATAGCCCTACAACATGCAAAGATCTTCCTCGGCCTATAAATTCACGAAATTAATAGTTCGGCTATTTATGGATCAAAGAATATATAGAAAGAAGAAGTTCAAGAAGATTAGAAGCTTAAGTCTAATAATAATATTTCATAAGTTATCTTTCATTAACTCTTCCGAAAAATCTGGAAGAATTGAGTCTTTAATATGAAATATGAACGTCGCTGACCGGGAGGTATAGGGCAGCAAACCAAGGGCAGTTCGCTGCTGACGCCGCACACTTGACTGACGGCCCCCTCGCCTGCCACTCGCTGGTGGGAGGGGCAGTGAGTGGACAGCTTACACTCCCCCTTCTGCCCCGTCCTTGTTATGGTGCACGACAGGGAGGGGGAGTCCGATGACCCGGGGAACACCAAACCTTCAAACATCCGCGACGTTAATAACATTTGTATTGAGACTAATAGGGTGATTACTTTTATGTCTTCGCGTTTATGTATCATCAGCCTACATCACCAAACATGAAATTAATAACATAGTCATGACTTAAACAAGTTCATCCCTTACTACAACCATTAATTATATCGTATACCACAGTCAAATTAGTCAATATGTTTTCACCTACACGTTAAGCCCCCGTATATGCAACATCCTACATGAGGTTAAAGCAGATGTTGACTTTGCTTTCAACAGGTGCTTACCTTGCCCCACTACTCCCCCAGAGTGCACCAGCGTCGTCACCAACACGCACAACTGCCACATCCTAGCGGGACTCCCTACAATTTCCCCTAAAACTTCCGATCGGAAGTTCTCTTCTGTTGAAGTATTAATTGCTATTTACGTGCGGAATAATGTCAACCAGTATTAAATAATAATTGTTCTCATTTTCCTAGCAAGACATTCATAACATCATCAACAAGACAAATCTGTATTTTTATTGGTCACTTAATTAGTCTTGATAAGCGTGACTCATTCGTCACATTTTAATTCTCTAGAAGAGCAGGACTGAATATAACGAAGTGTATTCCCCTCGCTAGCACCTGCGCGACTGAGGAGAAGAAACTTGCCGCGACCAGCATCCCATCGTCAAGAACCTGCTGCTGGCAGGCCATGTATTCGCATACATCAAAGCTCCTAAAGCGGAAAATAGAGCCTGGTTATTGTGTCGGGTTCGTCGATTTAGTATGTGCGAATGCCTGCACCTCATCCAACATTTTCGTATATAAAATGATCGCATCTTCAAGTTAATGGAATTTACCGAGCGCACAAAATACTTTTATATCATTAGTTACATATTTTTTAACATTTTTTCTTCATGCTGCCAACAGCACGGATAATCAGACATCAAGTCGTATTGGATAATACATGAGGTAAAACTGTAGGTCAAAGGATTTAAACAGCTGTTTGTTGAGTTGCAGCTAAGATGCAACTGCTGTCTGGGCTGTTTTGCGAGGAGGAACGGACACCATGAAATACCATATAAAGAGAAACAGGATTTACCAACGTTCATTTTGAAGTTGTGAATCTTGGAAGGGGAGTTGCCACGTCAAAGCGTTCCTCTGATTCTCGGAACTTTTCCGCCTCACTTATTTCATCCTGATGTTGCTCAATAGTAGAACGATTATACTTCCTATCGCCGGTAACAATTTTCAACAGCAAAATCACGGCAATCGAATTTGCGTCAGAAAAAAATATTTTTCGAGTTCGTTTGAATTATTACTCTGATATTTTCGTACATACACAATTTGTTTTATCCTGAATGTAATGAATGACCTACTCATGAATGAACAAAAAATGATCACTCGTTTCCGTAGAAACTTGAATGCTCATTCACTACATCCTAGTTGGATTGCTGTCATCGGAACTTTTTATCGTAGGGGCTTTGAGGCTGCCAAATTTTAAAATAATGCTTGCTTAACACCAATAAATTTACCGAACCACAGCAGTTTCAGTTCCATTAACTTATTCTAAAATCAAGATTTCGGTTAACTAGAGCAATGAGGCGATAAATACCTAACTATTCTCATTCGAAACGTACGTGGGATTCATCACTGTTCGACTGCCGATAAAGAAATATCTTGGCAACATAAAGAAGTTATGTTGTAGCTGCGCACATCATCACATATACAGTATAATACAATCAGGAGGAAATGAACGGCTTGATATCTTTGCGCGGAACTCGGCAGGACAAATTCCAAGAAGACTTAGAATGCACCGCACTGCAGTTCCAGCTAATTCTGCCCCGTAGCCGACGTGTAACAAGCTTCAAATTATTCCAGGTATCGCTCAAAGTTCCTGCCTATATACCCTGCAATATATACTACAAAGCTCGATGCAAGTCCAAGAATTTGAACAGTGAATTTAACTACGCTGTTTCGTGAACAAATTATAAGCGATTCGTGGAATAAATCTTTCATAAACGCACTCCGAAGAGAAACAGGTAAGATAAAGTTACATCAATCAGTAATAGTTGCGGCTGCAGCCTTACAAGTGATGTAAACAACCTTATATACTTGGTGCTGCTCCCCCAAATTATTTGCATGCGATGCCTTGATATGCAGATTTGAATTGATCCGTGGAAATTTATTCCCTGTGTTCCTCAGAGAGGATAAATTAATTCATTTTTGTCCAGCAGATATAATATTTTTTAATTATTTAGCGTATTCATATGTAACGGTGTACCTGAATTTACGTGCTTGCGACAAATTTTGAATAGAATAAAATATGAACTAATAGCTAATGAGTGCATGTATGTGCTCGTATTGCTTTTCTCAAATTAAATGGAAACGCAAAAATCAGAGAGTAATTCATAAAATAAAATTATTGGGTCTACTATGCATTTTATTTGATAATTGCTTGATGTATTTGTATGATGGCACCAGAATTCACGGCAATAATTGTATAATAAATACACAAAATGCGTGTACAGAAAAAAATCGCGGCTACGATTGAACAAAACGCAGCAGAGCAACGAACTTCTGAAGGTTTGATAGAAACTAAACTTTTTTAGATGTCGGTATAATTAAAATTCCCCCATGTATATATATCGCCTCATTTTTTCCATACAATTTTGGTAATTGCATGTATCAGAAGACGCCGCTATTATCTAGGTTACTGACCGAGTTTTTTTTTTAATTTGTGATCGTTGCAAAGGGTAGACTTCAAATAACTCTCTTGGGCAAAGTTCCATGGGGCAAAACCATGAGAGTTCATTTATCAAATAAGATCGTCTCTGCGAGACGAGGCGGCCACATTGATATAACTTAAATAATCAAATAGAGGCCCTAGCTAGGAGGATCGAGGCTCTTTATATTTAAGAGGGAATCTCACATTTCTCAATGTCGATAATCGGTCCATATTACGACGAACAAAAAATTCTCCGACTGCCTACCGGCATTGAGCTCATTCACCACGACAGTGCGCTCGTTTTAGTAAAAAAAAATAAACATCACAACTGACGAAAGTGTACACCAATCGTTAATATGCTCACAATAAATCGCTTCTTTGGTGAAGTTTTCATGGATTTTTAGTGCTTCAATAGCGCGCAGGCTCTGTTTGTTGACGCAGCCTGCGATGGAGTCAATCAATCTATATAATATACTAGTACAATAGTTCGAAATTATTATGCGTCTTGCTAGTTGACAGCAGTTCAAAAACTATCATCGGAGGTATTTGATCTTGGTTCATATTATTACTCTTAATATTAAAATAAAAATTGATTCAATTTAAATGTTGAAGGTCATAAATGAAAATTTTACAGAAAGACTCATAGATGGAACGAGAGGGAACCTTCAGCGCAAAACTGTACCTGCTCCGCCTAACGAGCCTCGTGAGTGTTAATGATCTTATTTAAACGTTGTTGCGCTTGATAGTCGGATCGTCTATGTTCTCATGAGAAGCTAAGGAATAAATTTCTCAAATAAAAGTTTTACAAATTTTTTCGATGATTCACATTTATTATAGGTATCACAGTGAATAAGGAGCGATTGTGCTACCTGTATTATTTCAAGAATATTAATCTGCATAAAGCTTGTAATTGCGATTAGTAAAATTGTGAGGTTGTGAGATATTTAATCCATCAAATCCATGAAACAGTTACGATATAAAAATTTGTATAATGTCGACATATTTAATATTGGACACTTTAAGTGCCGGTCATTCTTGTTCGTAATATTAGTTCATGACAATGTGCAGGTTAGAAAACGCGATCCACTATACATTTCGTTAAAACGCATAATTGATTTCCCTAAGTAATGAGATATTTGTTATTTCTCTTGCTTCTGTACATGTCACAGTTTGCGGTGTTCTTAGTCCTTTGCATGGGCGACGCAAAAGATCTCCAACAACAGCCGGAGGGCAGGATGCACAGGACAACTCTCTCGGAACAGTGCGTATAACATATGTCTGCATGTTGACCTATTTAGATACATGGAGAGCTATTCGAGTTAAAATAACAGGGCATGAATTCCCTCGGAGCCACATTCATCTGAACGCATTTAATGCAACGATCTTTACTGACAGTTCTCACTGGTACAACCATGAGCAATTTGAACGGAACGTTATTTGAATTTGTCGCTTGTTGTTTGAAAGATTACTTCATTGAAGTGTGAGAGACTTCGGTTATAATGTAGTAAATTTTTACAATAAAAATGCTTCTGTAATTTAAACCACGGATTTTTATGTACTCTAAACCAAAGAATGTGTTGTAGATTCATGTACTCTAAACCCAAGACTCAGGCCGCCTTAGCTCCAGGTCACAGCTTTATGCCACTTAAGGATCGAATCATAGAACAAGTTTCCTCGATAAATCCGGTCCCTTGCTCGGCCTTAGTTTCGATCCAGGAGTTAACTGCTCGCCCGCTGTTTTTCTACAGAGCAATAACTATTTTTTCTTTCAAACCAGAATTAAATCGTACTGAGCACAGGTATGAGGAATCTCCCTTATAAAGTGATGTGGGTCGTTTGGTGAGCTTTTCTCTGGGAAGATTTTAGAGATTTTATCTATAGAGGCGGCTCGTTATGACTCAGGGCTGACAGACATATTTTGTATTTTACACAGAGGGTGTTTTTTGCGATCGATCAAGAAATTCGGAACGAAAACTTACGCTCTGAATGGTGTATCGCATCATAAGTCTTGTTCACACGGTGCTCGGTGACAACAACAAGTGTTTTTTTTTCTGACCTATTTCTATGCTCCTGATGGAACCAATGTCATCAGTCATTTCATTGTGTCTGTCTTGAGCTTTCACGTAGAATAGATTGTCGCCTGAAGTACACACTCCGTCCACCTCGCCGATAAGCCTGTCAGAAATGTATATGTTGCCATTTTTAGCGCATTTTCTCATTTATGGAATAGATGCACTATTGTGCTCGCCATGTCTGCCGTCTGTCTGTCCGTCTGTTAGTCGGTCTGTCCGTCTATCTGTCCGTCCGTGACTTCACGTTTTCGTCGACGAGAAAATGCGCTCTCTGTCACTCACCGCAGTGAGTACTGAGTTATGTTTTTTCTCTTAATTTCAATTCTGTTAAAAAATAATGCCAATCCTTTTCAGAGAGTGAAGCGGTCTCCAAGAAAATTTTCCGACGATGGTGACAGCAAATTAGCGAAACAACTAGGAGATTTCCCTATTATAGTTGGAGTGACTGGGGGCTTCGATGCTCACGAGAACGGACATCCGTGGATGGTAGGTGAGGTAATGAACGCTTTAATGTGTTCATGAGTACTATGTTTATCAGTCATACTATGTTTATGAGTGTTGTGTCAACCATATCTCCCGTATAAAAATATAATTATAAGTTCAAAATATTAGTATCATTTGTATTAATTGGCGGTAAGAATTATCTTTGCCTAAAATCCTGAGACCCTTTGCATGGTCGGCATCACGATCCCATTTATGCCAGGTTGGCGGTTGAGGTAAAAAGCCCGGTAGAGTGTGGAGCGAGCAATGAAATTTTCTGGTAAATGTGACTGAGGATATCATCAGTCGACTGTACGGACGTAATGCATACCTTGTAGGAAAAAAATATTAAGAAACTTTGCTCCTGGACAAAACATTATTGATGGAATTCTAGGTTGAATTGAATGAAATTATTAGTAATGCTATTACAAGTGGAACATGCTAATAATATTCACGAATGTAAACATGGCGAGTTACACTTCTATAAAGAAGAAAATTTTTCATCCAATTAGAAAAATTGTATCGTCAATTTTAAAATTTATTAGAAGCTTCATATGTAGTTACAATTTTTGTTTACAGCACAACTGATTACATCAGCAATTATTTCCGACATTCTGATCTTTGTTTTCTGCAATAAAGGCACATTATGTATTACATAATGCGTTATATCTAAAACAATACTAGTACGACGTGACCGTACGTGACGAGAAAAGCCGTTTTCGGGCAGCCACCTGAAATATTCCACTTGTCTCGCAGATTCGGGTGCGAACGGCCACTGTTTCGGTCGCAAACTTTAGCTTTAAGTCTACTGAATATATGACTATACTCAACTATATGATTTGATACGCATATATAGTCATAAGTGAGTGATTTTTAAGTCAGAAGCAGCACTGTACACTTTGATCATGTGCGTGAGTGACATTTTCATAGAGTCTTGCTTAATTTTCAGCGGCAACCTGTTCACGTATTAGGGAAACTTTTACCTTCATCCTGGTTCCAACGTTGCCACGTAAATTCAATCGTGCATTTTCTGAGCTGCTACGATCTAGCGTCAGCGGTTTCCTACCTGACGTCTGTCGCTTTGCCTGACGTCTGTCGCCTTCAATATTTTGTTTGGAATGGCCTAAGGAATGATTTCAAATCTCATTTAGTTAGCATAACCAAAAAATGTAAACCTTCTATCCAGGAAATCAATGAAAACATATTTGAAGCATCCGAACGTTACGTCGGACAAATCGAGCAGAAGCGCGTCAAATCAGGCAAGGATGCTGTGAGACCGCACAGACCTAAAGATGCACCAGTCGATGCGACCGTTATGGCTGCTGATTGATGTCCGCGTCCACACGACGTGTAACCTGTGTTCTCATGACAGGAAGCGCGCTGACGATTCATTACCTACTTGCCCGACTTACGATTCTCCTAAAAAGAAAATCGATAAGTTGAGGCTAATGAACGCTTGTGCTAAGTGTAGTTTTGCTAATCAGTAATCACACTACCAACAATTGTAAATTTAAGTTCAAGTCACCTTGCCGTCATTGCAATGGTAACCACATGTCATACCTATGCATTAAAACCTCTTCTAACATTCCTCCAAGTACTTCACAGGCGCCCAAGCGACCGGTGATAGAAACTCTGACTGGAATTTGACAGGTGGAGTTGTTACGGGAGAGCGGGTAACTATTAATAAATATGACAGAGCTGCCTCAACGCTCAATGTCCCCGGGCAGGAGATGCTACTGGTAACGAAGGATGACGCATACAATAAGACCTACTAAGGAACAAGAATAAAATTCAACCCGAAATTTTATTCAATCTAAACAAGAAACTTGGAAAAATATAAATACTAACTACCTACTTCATCGGCTACTTAACTAAAAAACATTTATTCAAATAGTCGACCCGCGACAATTCTAAAACCTATTGACCTTTACACAAAACTGAACACGAGACGCGCCGACTTCCTGAGAGCCGCGTATCTCTTTCAGGGGAAGCCCTAATACATTAACGGGCCACCCCAAGCGGCACAGACACCGGGCCTAGAACACGATGGCTCGACCCAGGCAAGCCTAGGGGGGTCACGCCTCCACGAGGAACTTCAAGACTCTAGTTAACTNAGCACTATAAATACAGTGTTTGCTTGAGGTGCAGCTCAGTAACCCGCTTGGCGTGGTATGAGGAGGTGCGCATGTAGTCGCTCCCACCATCCTTGAGTGGAATCAAGCTCCAGAAACGTTTAGTTTTTTTCGTATCCTTGCTACCTTGAGTGCCTATTACGATGCGGACGGGACTTTGTCGCGCTCTCCTGAACATTCACACTTATTGTCACGGCAAACCTATCTCCTACTAGTGCCATACTTTTAAAACTTGCTAAGTGAACGTAAGTACTTACGCTCTATTTTCTTGTCTATGATTGGTGGATTTTGCTTGAAAGGCCATCAATGATTGGCTGATGAACTTACGATCTCTTAACTTTTTTTGAAGGTATAGGCCCTAGAGTTTTGAAGCTACAGCGATGAGACATATACCATTCGATTTGTAAAGACCATACCTATCGAGTAACAAAGCCCCTTTTTAGATTTTTGCATAGTTTTGATTCAAAAAGAGGAGGGGAGGGGGGAAAATTTGAAGAAAATGAAAAGAAAACCGAAAAATGTGTGTAAAAAAATTAAGGCAAAAATAAACAATCGGGCTTCGTTACTCGATTGGTATGGTTTTTACGCATCGAATGATAAGCGTTTCAATGTTGTAGCTTGAAAACCCTAGGAGGAGATAGATTTCTACAGTACCCCCTTTTTTGTTTGTTTTCTATAAATTTCACGTTTTTTATTAATTTTTCGAAAAAATCATGCGAACAAAATGTTCTTGTACTTGTATTTTGGTTTTACATATATGAGTGATGTTTCAGAAAGATCCGTTAGTAAATGTGGAAGTTTTCCAGGAGGGTATACCCCCCCCTTAAATACTGAAATGACTTAAATAATAAACGGTTAATCCAACGCAGGCGACCTGACGTGGTTCGTCTTGCTGAGCACGACTACAACAACACCCTGGAAAGCATCGCCCACGAGGACCACAGGGTTGCTGACGTGGTGGTTCACCCCGGCTACCAAGAAGAGGGTACCTTCTCCTCCTACCACGACCTCGCGCTCATCAAAGTGGTGGACCGCATCAGACACAGAGTGCGCCGAGGCTACAAATTTGTTCTGTGTGATATGGTATATTTCGATAGATTTCAGACATTTTCTCACATGATCGCGTTATTCCGAAACCTGACTTCTGAGCAAGCGCTAGATTTACAATAAAATAAAAATGTTTAATGGCACAGAGCGTTAATTTATATTTTAAGTACATGAAAAGAACTCAGAACTCATCCACACACACTTCCGTCAGGAGGGCGTGATGCCAATATGTCTGCCGTGGGGTAATGTAGCCAGACGCATCCTCCATCACAACAACGTCACCATCACCGGTTGGGGCGCTAAAGTTTTTGGTAGGTCAAAAGTACCGTTCAGATACACGGCAGATCTGTTCGCTTTGAACCACGAGGCTTTGGTAAATTTTTGCAATAAATTTCCAGCTTGATGTGCTTCATGACCACACGTTCTGGAGTATAAGGTGAAATGCGACAGATTGTCAAACTTTACGAATCTACGCCCGCCGCTTTTGAGGCCGACTCTACCGCCTTTTTTTGATATTCAAATCAGTTACTGATTATGTTTTAAACTAATCTCGCGGCCTGTCGCATCTCCTCCTTAAATATTCACTCATTATAAAAGTTTCGCGAGGTTGATTTTCGCGAGTTTTTACAGGCTTACTCTATATACTCTTTTATTGATGGTTGCAAAATGAAGCAAGGCCATGTATTCTTTATCCGCCCAAGAAAAACCTGGTTGACAGTAATTTTGCATGATGCAAGAAAGCACAATACTGATCTACCAACAGAGATTATGTATTCAATTCTATTTTGCTTATGTGAAGTTGAGGACTTCCTCGTCCCTGGATATGCCTATGTGCCATCTTCGTCGCCCATCGTCTCTTAAGCAGTCAATAGTCAGGTCACCTCACCGCCATAGAACCTTGAATAACGTTGATCGTTACTACCGTGCACCTGCCCTCATTTGAGCCTGATGATGCAAAATGATGTTGATTGTTGAAAGCAAAAAGGGCATAGACGGATGATCCGGGAGCGTGCTCAAAACGTATCCAGTCGTCTCTTGAATGTCTCCAGGAAGAATTTCCTCCCTTCCTCTCAGTATAATCAGCAAGTCATTGCAGCAATCTTTTGATGATACATCAGTGCATTCACAAACGACTCATAGATTAGCTTCTGACTGTGTGGTGAANGTGGCCGTTCGACCGAGGGCTGGTTCGACGCACGGCTTAGATATGATTGTCCAGAAGTGTCGAAGGCCACGTTCCGGAAGGCAGGAATCATGATGGTCCATTGCATCCGGGCAGTGGTGGTCTTCGGCAGGCGACCCGCTCGGCGGACTTGCGTGAAAATATATACCGAATCTTCTCCTATGAAAACACTATACATCTTCCAAAATACTGAATCTTCTGTTCCTCTCATGGCAAATTATTGCGTATGGAAACATGTCCGTTTTCCCTTATTCTAATCTCTTGAAGGACGAGCATGCGTATTTCTTTTCAGTTCTTCGATAAGAAAGTAATTGTTTTTGGTGCATTAGGGTGACTCCGGAGGGCCCCTGGTGTACTTCGCATCAGACCACAAGGATGGAGTCTCTGTGTTGGGGGGCGTGGTGTCCCAAGGCTACGGCTGTGGACTTGAAGAATTCCCAGGCCTTTACGTACCTCTCTCCAATCCAGACTACCTTCAGTGGATCAAGGATGTAGCCTTCAGCGATAATTAAACATCTATATTGTGGCTATAGCGTGTTTAAAATTCTTTCCTGACGTTTGTATAGTTAATAATACTGAGAAAGGCACAATAATGACTTTGTCGTTAATTATTTAGAAAATTTACTTATAAGTAAAGATTTAAACTATATGCCCCGAGAGTAAAGAATTCTTTATGAACGGCATGTATAACTACGTATAAAATACAAACGCAGTGTTGCCATATTAAAGCTTCTAGTGAGAGTCTATTTCCGTTTGAAAATAGATTTTCCGATTGACTGAACATGAAGATAAAAATTCAATCATATGGTAAAGGCATGAAACTATAGCGGTCGCAATATTCGTAATATTTTTGCACCGAATCTGCATGCGAGGCGCAGCTCCACGGTCCTGAAATCTCAACGATTACCTATCACATGTCACAGGCTATCATGTCGAGGCAGCACCTTTATACAATTCAAAGCAAACCTACTCGTATGTAAAATAGTTGGATATTAATAGGCATTCTTAGCGCTTCCATATATGTTATTTTTCGATTATTGCAATGCATAGTATAGTTAGCTAACTAGTTCATTAAGCCATTTACAGCTAATTAACATACTGCAAGCCAACAGGTACAAGACCAGATTTAGTTGAGGAAGCAATAACACTGACTCCGTCTAACAAGAGGTCATTTTAGAACCAGTAAATAAATACCAGATGCACGAGCAATATTAACTCTTGTCAGACCGTATACTTTTACTAAGTTATTATTATACAGAGTTTAGCTTCAATTGTAACCTAGCTATGTTATCTGCCAAGGGTTTATAGATAACATTGCCCATATGTTGCCAGGTAAAAATCAGAAGAAGTTGAGACACAACGAACCTTGCGGTGAATTGACAATTCTGCCCAGTGGGGCTACGACATTCCAATAATAACCAGAATTTTTCATTAAATTTTAGAAATAAATGTGAGCGCAGGTGAAAAGAGCAGCGAGAGAGAAGGCGCCTTAAAAACAATTGCATGTTACACAGGAACCTAAAACTTGAGAATGAAGATATAATTCCTGCTAGAAGTGTGCGATTCGATTAAATAAAATTAAAAATTAATACATAATGACGTAGAAATGACAGCTGCAGAGCTCAAGCGTAATAAGATGTGGGCGACTACCGTGAAAGCCACTCCAGCATCCCTCAGCACCATGCATGCATTCACAAACATTTTAATCATACGTTAAAATGTGAGCAATAGTTATTACCATTTTCTCGTAGAAATTGGATTAAGACGTGCAACACGTATGTACACGCCAGGAAAAACTAACGTTCCGAAAAAAACACGAACACGGCATATCTTAATCTCAAGGCAAAATAGAATTTCGATGTAAGTGATAACATATGTCAAATTGTCAACTCGTTAACTTGTAAAAATTAAAGTAACCGAAATCGATAGCATATCACTAAACAAAATCTACCTTGGGAGTTGATAACTGTGTTAACATCATTCGTCACCAAAAATACATTCAACGGCAACCAATACCAAGAACACTACGTCAACAATTATAATCATCATCATTAAACCCACACAATCTGCAATTCTCGATATCAAAATTAGCTCTTGATTGATACTCAAACACAGCGGAATTTTACGAATAAAACTGAACATAAATTTCGAAGAAGAAAAACATGAACAATCACAAGCATGCTTTGAGGTTTACCTATTTAGTTTTAGATAAAAATTTCATTCGGAAGCAACAGCAATCTCGGACCATATACCATCATTAATAAAAAGGCTGGCCGGACCAACTTAGCACTTGGCAAAAATGTTGTCACATTCTTGTAGGATTGAGATGTTTACACTAAACAAAAACAGAGAGCAGGATGCCAAGTCAGAGGACATCGAAACAAAAATAATTTGAATGAATTTTTAACTTATCACTAACATGAATGAAGAGAATGATAAGTGTACAACCAAGATTATACGTATACTGAAACGGCAGTATTTAAAGTTTCTAATCGATTTTTGGCGAGACTAGTAACGAGCTACTGAACTGCAGTATTACATTGAACTTAACGTGTAAACAAGAGCTTGTTGGGAGGTATGCGCGACACAAGTCAGTGTTTAAAGAGACAAATCATATCTAAAAGACATCACGAGCTACTAAATTAACTCATCATGCAAGGGAAAGCTTGTTTGGTAGGTACGCGTGACACAGGTCAATGTTTTGAGAGACTAATCATAACATAAACTGAAGTCATTACGTGAGGGAGAGTTTGTTCTGTGGTACGCGCGACACAGGCCAATGTTTAGAGATTAATCATACACACAACTAAAGTTATCACGTGAGGGAAAGTTTATTGCGTCGTACGCGCGACACAGGCCAATGTTTAGAGACTAATCATAACTAAAACTGAAGTTATCACGCGAGGGAGAGTTTATTGCGTCGTACGCGCGACACAGGCCAATGTTTTGAGAGACTAATCATAACTAAAACTGAAGTTATCACGCGAGGGAGAGTTTATTGCGTCGTACGCGTGACACAGGTCAATGTTTAGAGACTAATCATACACAAAACTGAAGTTATCACGTGAGGGAGAGTTTGTTGTGTGGTAAGCGTGACACAGGTCAATGTTTTGAGAGACTAATCATAACATAAACTGAAGTTATCACGTGAGGGAGAGTTTGTTAGGAGGCATGTGGCCGCACTCGCCCAGCTGTCTGATGGAGACGCGGCCGTCCGGCCTGATCACGAGCATCGATTGTTCTGTGGTACGCGCGACACAGGCCAATGTTTTGAGAAACTAATAATAAACAAAAGTGAAGTTATCACGTGAGGGAGAGTTTGTTGTGTGGTAAGCGTGACACAGGTCAATGTTTATAGATACTAATCATGCACAAAACTGAAGTTATCACGTGAGGGAGAGTTTGTTGTGTAGTAAGCGTGACACAGGTCAATGTTTAGATATTAATCATACACAAAACTGAAGTCATCACGTGAGGGAGAGTTTGTTAGGAGGCATGTGGCCGCACTCGCCCAGCTGTCTGATGGAGACGCGGCCGTCCGGCCTGATCACGAGCATCGTCACAGAGCCGTTGTGGAGGCTCATTCGCAGCCAGCCTTCAGGCACGAACTGCAGCGCCCTGCGCACGTAAGGTAAACACATTGCTGACTCGTGAACATAAATTGGCATTTGGAATGCGAGGTGCGGTTACGAAAACACCTGCACATGACGTTTTTGATAGCATGCTACTTACACACAATCTACTCTTTAACACGTAAGATGTATACATCTACTTGATAACCCGGTGCCTGTGCAAGCGCGAGGTATTTGATAACGTTTCACTTGTACAAACAAGATGTATTACATAGCGCGTTACCTGCACATGTAATGCCCGTAACGCGTCGCCATCATACTACATATTTGATAACGGGTAATTGGCACACGATTTATTTGGTAATGACTCACCAGCCCACAAGTTATTACGGAACAATTCACTATATGCACACTTTGAATGCGATAACACGATATCTGCACACAAGGTATCTGGTATGCATAACCTGTAAAAAATGTATATGTAAATAATGTATATGTATGTAATGTACGCGGTGTAATGTACAACGCGTGCATGTAACACATAGCGTGTTACATG